ATTTTTCAAGTTTACACGTTCGTGGTGTGTATATGCATGCGTCAGATAATGAACTCCAGCCTACATTACCGTGTTAACATGCTTTTCAATCCTTCCTGCACATTCTTTTCAAACTAAACTTTGCTTTAAACTGTTGTGTGCTTGGAAAAATATAAATTGTAACGTTAAAAATCTAAACAACCACTTGACAGGTTAAAAACTTAAGATAAATCACAAGACAGAAGTCAATGTCATAAATGAATAACTTTTATTTTAGAGTCACGCTATGTTTATACAAGATAATACTATTAATATAATGTGACTTTTCTAGAGAATCATTATACATCGTTATTTTATTCAGGGTTTCCACAGTCTGACATCATTTCAGAATTCCCTGACTTTTAACTGACTCAGGATCAGTTTTCCCTGACAAAATAAATGCAGCAACAAGACAATAATAATAACATAACAGGTCACCAATCTAACATGTTTAGCTCTATAACATTTAAATGCACCTCTCCAATGTCTAAGAGAAAAACATCTAATGAACATTTTTTAATGTCTGACCTGCATCACTGAACAGAAGGCTGCCTATGATAGAAATATTTACACTGAGCGCATGGCGTACTATTATGCCAGTTTTCCTAATCCCTGACCGATCATTTTTAATGTAGGGTTATCTGGGTGGAGGGTGAAATGGGTGGAGGTCGGGCGCCGGGCGGCTTTTCTGCTCTCGGGTTGATTCTGTGCGCGGTGTGTTGTGTTGCGCGCTGTTGGCGTCAGTCTTGGTGGGGTGGGGCTGCGCTTTTGGCCTGGGGGGCGTTTTGGGGGGGTCCCGCGGAGCTCTTGGCCGGTTCGTGGCGGATACGCGTGGGCCATGGCTGTGGGCGGGGCCGCCTGTGTGTTTTTCCTGGGTGGTGCGGTCGCGGTTGGGGGTTGCGGCCGGTCGCCGGGGCTTGGTGCCGGGGGGCGGGGCGTGTTTCGGCGCTCTGTGGGGCTGGGGCGTTTCGGTCGGTGCCGTGGGCGGGCCGGTGTTCGGTGCCCGGCCCTACTTCAGGGTGGCCGGCTGCCGGCGGGGCCCGCGGACTCGTCCCCGCGGCTCCCCGGGGCGCCGGCATGGCGGTGGCTGGGGGGCCTCTTTGGGGTTGTCTCTCCTCCTCCCTTGGTGGGGGTCCGATTTCCGGGGCTGGCCCCTCCTTGGTGCCTT